TTATTGATAGACATGCAAATTCTGTGTTTCTTCCTCTGTTGTGGGAGGGATGAAAACCCCACACTGGTGAGTCTCCCCATGCAATTCATGTCAACATTTCTTTACTCCATATAAGAAGTTTTCATCGGTATTCTAAGAAGCTAAATTTATAACAAGGAACTGAAAGCTGTGCTAGCCCACCAGCTGTGTTGAAACAACAAGCTAGAAAGCAGTGCCCTCAGACAGAACTTCCTGGGATGATGGAAATGTCCTGCGTTGTCCTGTCCAACACAGCAGCCACCCGCCACAAGAGGCCGTGAGCATCTGGCACGTGGCCAGTGCGACCGAGGACCTGAATCTTTCTCAGGGAATTTAATAGACTCTAATGTAAATAGGCACGTGCTTAATGGCTAACCTATCAGATGACGCAGCTCTAGATGGCTGAGGTGAACTTTCACAAAACCCCGCCCTCTCAGAGGGCGCAGATTTCTGTGTTGTGGTTGTGAATGTCAACACTGCATCTTTGTCCATTGTCTAAAGTACAATATTCAAAACATGATTTGCTTCAGATTGGGAAGGACACTTTAAAAACATCCCAGAACATAAGTCATAAAGGGAACATGGATGGGCTTACCTACATTGTCTAATGCTGGCTTCCCAAATATCAGAAACAGAGCTTTCTCCTAGCAACAGGTTGTGTTGGGAAGCCAGCGTTCAACAGTCCTATTTTGAATATTGTCCTTTAGCCAATGTGCAGAGATATATATTCTCATGCATTATCTGGTCAGCTGGCAAAGCTTTCAGTTCCTGTTATAAACTTAGATTCTCAACGCCGATGAAAAGTTTTTAGAGCACATGGTACTTTTACACCTGGGTAGTTTGAATTATAGTTCCCATTTAATTTAAGCAGGTTTTCCTCTTAAAGAGAGAATCACACTTCTGATTTTTAAATATTCCTTTCTCAAAGAAAGGGCCCATGCCCGGCCAGTGTGGTTCAGTGGTCAACCTATGAACCTGGATGTCACCGTTTCATTCCTGGTCAAGGTACATGCACGGTTTGCGGGCTTGATCCCCAGTAGGAGGCGTGCAGGAGGCAGCCGATCAATGATTCTCTCTCATCATCGATGTCTCTCTCTCTCTCTTTCCCTTCTTCTCTGAAATCAATAAAAATATATTTAAAAAAAAAAGAAGAAAAAAGAAAGGAAGAAAGGGCTCAGTTATTTTGGTGCCTCAGTCCTTTTGCCTTTTTTCTGGAGTCTCCTCTGCTGCCGCCTTGACCTTGGGCCTGGGCGAGGGCAAGTTCGGCCCACAGGGATGGATGATGGGGACACGGAGGGAGCTGGGGTGGCTGGGAGCTGCTCCGCGGTGGACAAAGCCTGGAGGTGTGTTGAAGGCAGAATTCAAATGCTCACCTCAGCTATGACATCTCTGTGAGACCCGGACGAGGCCCCGGTCTTCAATGCAGCTCAGCCTCCACAAGGAGAAACGCTAGAGCTGGAGATGCCCTCTGGGCCCCCGCCCCATCAGACCAAGGAGCACGTGCAGACAGCGCCCCGGGTGGAGGGTAGACAAGGCAGGGCTCACACCCTATAGGGTAGACAAGGAGGGGCTCACACCCTGAATGAGACAGCCAGCCCGGCTCTCACAGTCTATCCGGAGAGGAACAGCGTGTCCACAGTAGGGCAGTGACAAAACAGCGCCAGATCAGGGCCTGAGAGTGCAGCCAGGCGCTGCGCACCCATGACGGGGCGGTGGTGGGGGCTGTGCCGGGGAAGGTGGAGCGGGGGTGGCTGCACACTCCAGTCCTCTGCACCAGCTTCTAGAGGAGCCCCCTTGTGGCTCCACACAGTGAGACTCGCTGGGGAGCGGGCCCTGGAGGCATTTCAGGGGCTGGGGAAGGGACACGCTCCAGCACAGTCTGAGGCGGAACCACAGTGGCAGACAGGGGTGGAGCCATGTGGGGACTCACTGGGTGGGTACAGATGGACGGGTCTGACTCAGGCCGGGGCCTCTGATGGGACCAAGACGTCCCGGTAGGTCAGGGTAGCGGAGCACTCGCCTGAGCTCCATGGCCAGGACACAGGGTCACCGACAGGCAGCAGCTGCAGACCCCTCCCCATTCCCCCTCTAACACGGCAGCGTCCTGGTGCCTAGTGACAGCTTGGGCTCCAGACCTTCTGGTCACTGGCCTCAGAAACTCCGGCTCTCTACCTCCTCCCTCCTCCCTGGGGCTCCCAGGGCCCAGGTGCAGGGCAGGACCAGGGCAGGGAGGTTCAGGGACAGACGGGGTCCTGAGCAGAGAGGAGTGTCCGTTCATTTAGGGATGTGAAGCAATCCCTCCCGAACAGGACGCTCTGAAGACTGATCACGCGGAAGGAGAGCGAGGTTCCAACCAGCTGGGAAGCCAGCGGCTGAATCCCACACCCGCCGGGATACCCCTGTAGTCTGTGCGCAGCGCAGCCAGCGGGCCTTCGCTAACAAGGCACTTACACGGCTGCAATCAGGTTCTTTTATTGTTTTGTTTTTAATCTTCACCCTAGGATATTTTTTTTCATTGATTTCTAGAGGGAGTGGAAGAGAGGGAGGGGCGGGGGGAGATAGAGAGAGGGAAACACCGGTTGCCTCCTGCATGCGCAGACCAGGGCTGGGGAACCTGTAACCGAGGTATGGGCCTTTGACCGGGAATTGAACCTGTGACCCTTAGGTAGGCAGGCCGATGCTCCAACCAGTGAGCCTAACTGGCCAGGGCTGCGATCAGTATTCTTTATGCCCAACCAAACTATGTTCTTAAACATTACTTTCCTTTTTGTTGTTAGTTATTGAGTATTTACAAACAGGTTTTGTACAAATAGTCTGTCTACATTTTTTAAAATTTTAGAATAGGTTTAGATTTCAGAAAAGTAACGAGGTTCTTAAAGGGAGTTTCCAGATACCCAGTTTCCACTCTTAGTAATATCTTACATGAACATGGCATATTGTCACAATCAATCAATCAATCAATCATGACATATACCTCGTTCAGATTTCCTTAACTTTTACCTAAGGTCCTTTTTTTGTCCCAGAATCCCATCCAGGATACCTGGTGACATTTGGTCATCATCTCTCTTTAGGGGGCTCTTGGCTATACCAGTTTCTCAGAATTTCCTATTTACTTATTTATTTATTTATTTATTTTAATTTCAGAGAGAGGAAGGGAGAGGGATAGAAACATCAATGATAACAGAGAATCATTGATCAGCTGCCTCCTGCACGCCCCCTACTGGGGGTCGAGCCCACAACCCATGCATGTGCCCTGACCAGGAATCAGACCTTGACCCTCTGGTTCCTGGTTTGATGCTCAGCCACCGAGCCACACCAGCTGGGCGAATTTCCTTATTTTTGATGACTTTGATAGTTCTGAGGAGTACTGGTCAGGTATTTTGTAATGCACCTCATTTGAGAGTTGTTTGATTTTTTTTCTCTTAGGCTTAGGGGTTTGGGAGAGGAAGATCAAAGAATAAAGTGCCATTCTCATCACATCCTAGCAAGGGTAGATGCTATCAACACAATAATCACTGTTGATCTTACCCTTGATCACCAGGCTGAACTGGTGCCAGGTTTTTCCACAGTAAGCTACTCTTACCCCACTTCCATTCCGTGTTCTTTGGAGGGAAGTCACTAAGGACAGCCCATACTTAAGGGATGGGGAGTTATGCTGCCCCTCTTTAAGGACCGAGTGTCAACATAAATTATTGGGATTCTTTTGCATGGGAGATTTGTCTATTCTCCCCACTTATTTATTCAATCATTTACTTATATTAGTACAAACTCATGGGTATTTATTTTATATTTTAGGTTATAATTCAAAGCCACTTTATTTTGTTGTTCAGGCTGTTCCAACTTTGGCCATTTCCCCCCCTCCGTATATTTTTACACACACATTATTATTATTATCTTTTAAGAAATGGCTGTGTATTTTTTATTTTTTAAAAATATATTTTATTGATTTTTTACAGAGAGGAAGGGAGAGGGATAGAGAGTTAGAAACATCTATGAGAGCGAAACATCGATCAGCTGCCTCCTGTACACCTCCTACTGGGGATGTGCCCGTAACAAAGCTACATGCCCTTGACTGGAATCGAACCTGGGACCCTTCAGTCCGCAGGCCGACGCTCTATCCACTGAGCCAAACCAGTTAGGGTTACACACACATCATTAAAACAAAAAGATGTTTCCTCTTTTCCCCCACTCACAAATGCCTTTAATCAACACCAATTGATTGAGCACCATTAGGGAGTGAGAGCTGAAGATATGGACTTGACGTTGAGCCCCCTTCCCTGCCTTCTCCTCCCACAACCCAACTGACCCACTGCCTCCTGCCCTCCCCTCTGAGAATCCCCATTCAGGGTTCCCTTTCCTCCCTCCCACCTCCCCTGGACCCCACCTTTCCCAGGGACCATCTTTACAGTCCCTGGAATTGAAACTCTGCTCTCCCCAACCTCCTAGAGTAAAACCACATTACTGACCTACCTTGCCTGGGAGGGGGGGCCCTGTGTACCGTGGGTACCAGAGGGATTCATGACTGCGGTCAGGCACCAAGGGCCCCCAACCGTTCATAGGCTGCACAGAGAGACAGAAAAGAGGAACAGTTTCTCTTGCACCATGGTTTCTTCTTGGACATTCGCAGAGGTTCCACCAGCAACAACGAAGGAGTGTGATAGGTGGACGGCGTGGAGCGATAAAGATGGGGAGAAGTTAGGCAAAAGGAAGCAACTGAGCCAGAGCTGAGGTCTCCAGGTCAGCGACAGACCCTCAGCTGGTGGCCCCCTGACCCAGGCCTGGCTGCTCCTCCCTCCCCTCGCCCACAGAGCCTGCCTCTCGGGCCAACCACTTCCCCAGTCAAGGTGTTGGGCTTTCTCAATTCTCCCATTTCAGAGACGCTGGGACACTGGGGCAGAATTAGGTCCAGCGTCTGGTTCCCTCGCCCCAGAGGCCTCCCCTTTGCTTCTGTCCGCCACCGTCAGAAACAGGTTGGGGGTGGCATGGCCTGGGGAGCCCCATGCCTCCTTCTGCCACCTGTCCTGCTGGTGTTCCTGGCCTCAGGTGAGATGCAGGAAGTAAGGGAGAGAGCGGGGACAGGGAGCAGGGTGGCTCTGTGACCAGGGGGCTGGCTTTGGGGACCATTTTCTGGGTGTGGGCATCAGACATTGGTCCTTCTCTCCTTCCACACCCTGTGACGGGGGTGGCTGGGTCCAGCCAGGGCCCTGACGTGAGGGCTTGTTCTCCAGGTTCCCAGGGACAGCAAGTTGTGCCTGAGGAGCTCCGTGACATGGCAGGGCAGACACTCTCGGTGCGATGCCAGTACTCTCCCACGGGAGGATCCTACAGGCAGAAAACCTGGTGTCGGCAGATATCTCCAAATCGCTGTACCAGGTTAGTCACCAGCTCTGAGCCCCGAACAGCAGTAACTCAGGATTCTCGCTACACGATCTGGGATGTGCCAGATGCTGGTTTCTTCAACATCAGCACAGCTCAGCTGACCGAGAGGGACTCCGGCTTCTACTGGTGTGGACCCTACAACTCGTCTGAAAACACCATCGCAGTTCTCAGAAACATCAGCCTGCTGGTGTCTCCAGGTAAGCTCCTTTCTTGAGGAAATGGCCCCTCCCTCCCAGGGCCTGGGCCAAACACCACTCCAGATGTCCAAGAGGGTTGAGCCCCCTGTCTCCGGAGAAGGGCTGTCGCCTTTGTTCCTTTCTGCCCATTCCGGCTCCCGCTGGTGGGAAGAGATGCTTAGTACTTACTGGCCAGGAGTCTCTCTATGACTCTCTTTTTCTTACACACACACCCCCACACCTCTGGTGTACAGACCTTAGTCACAAGTCACCCCTGGCCTAAGGAACCCCGAGGGACTATCTCTGGGTCGTCTACTTCCTCTCACAGCGTTGGGACCAGACCCCATTCTGTCTTCTGGCCTCTGGAAAGTCATTGCCTACTTTCTTTCCTTTGTAGCCCCGACCCCTTCTCCAGTGGGGACCACCACCTGGCCCTTGGAAAGGACAGGTAGGTCAAAGTCTCAGCGCAAGGAGAGGACAAGGGTGGCCAGTAGCCTGGGAAGCTCAGACTCAGGGAAGGGGGCACCATGGAGGCCTGCTGCTGGGGGCTGAGCCCCTGGGCCGGGGCTGGTGGAAACTGGATTCAGGGCTTAAGACCCAGGGAGGAAAATGTGCCCCATGTGATCTGACCAGGAAGACAGCCGTGGATGGGTGGGGTGTCCCAAGAGGCAAGTCTATCCTAAAAGACCCTGTACCTGCATGTCCCAGCTCCTCCCCTTGCTTACCACCAGCTCAGGGAGAAACTCCTCTCTTTGGGCCAGTGCCAGCCTGGCTTCAGTTGGTTGTAATGATCCTGAGCCCCAGTTACCCCTGGCCTACCGGGCCCCAAGGTTCTGTCTCCTCTATACGTCCTGCCAAGGGTTTGGAGGTTAATCCCATGCTGTATTCTGGTCTCCTGAGCAGCCATTGTTTTTTCTTATGTCCTTCTCAGTTCTGATCACTTCTCCAGGGGGGACCTCTGGCCCACCTTCCCTCAATGGATCTGAGCTCAGGTAGGTCAGGAGTCTCACCAGGAGGGAGGGTCCTGAAGGGACGGCCAGGTAGCTCATGCAGCCTCAGAATCATGAAGCGGAAACCCAAGATTCTTCCAAGATGATTGAGGCCCAGGGTGCTGCAGAGAAGCCCCAGGGACTCAGATACAAAGCTGGGGAGAGAGAAATGGGGAGGACGATACAGGTCATGAACTTTGGAGGAACTATAGAAAGGGTAGCCATGGATTTCTGGAATGAGACCAAATGGAACCAAAACACTGTGGGAGCTGGAGGCTGTGTCGGTGTGTGTTGAATGGTGGGCATGTCTGGGGCAAACAGTGGCTGGAGCCATAGCAAGAAACAGGTGAGAGGACACTTTTGATTTCTGCTCTTGACTCTTGCAGTCATGCACCTTGAGACTGTCATGGCCTCTCCTTCGCCACAGAAATAGGCTGCAGCAGCCCAGGTCACAGGTGCGCCAGGGGGCCAGGAGGCGCAGCAAAAGCAGTGGAGCACTGATGGAAATAGATGGCCAACTGCCCATGGATATTTGCTCCCTAATTCCTTTCTTCTCCAAACTCCAAGCCAGGTGGATTATAATAAGTACTGATAAGAGGCACACCTCAATAAGAAAATAGATCCATCATAAACATATGTACCTACATGTATGGCCATAAAATATACCAAGCCGCACTCTCAGAACTGCAAGGAAAAGTAAATAATTGTAGTTGGAGAGTCACATCCCTCTCAAAAGAGTATGTAGATCAATGATGCAAAAAATAAACAGGGACTGAAGTTCTAAACCAGAAGATTAATAAATTTCAGGTATCATACATATTTATATAACACTTACAAATGTTATATTTATTATAACATATATTTATAATCTATACTAATAAAAGGATAATATGCTAATTAGACCAGACATCTTCTGGACATCCATCTGGACATCCATCCGGACGTCCTTCCGGACAAAGCCACAGTGCCAGGGGCAGAGGCAGTTAGGGCCAATCAGGCCGGCAGGGGAGGGCAGTTAGGGGGATGAGGCGGACAGGCAAAGAGGTTAGTGGCGATCAGGCAGGCAGACAAGGTGAGCAGTTAGGAGCCAGCGGTCCCGGATTGCGAGAGGTCCAAGATTAGAGAGGGTGCGGGCCGGGCTAAGGGGGCCCCCCCCCCCCGCACGAATTTCATGCACTGGGCCTCTAGTATATAATAAACTATATCTTAAAATAAATACTATTTTCAAATATAGAAAATATCTACTTAAATGTTTAAAATGTTTTCAACTTATAAATGTATCATGAGTATTTAATAAAATACATTATTTATAAATATACATGTGTACACACATATACAAAACACTCTGTAAATAAAAACAAATAACATACATTCTTTAATACACAGAGACCATTTACAAAAGTAGACCTTGTATGAGGAGATAAAGAAGCTTGAATAAATTCCAAAGAATTAATATGATACGGAATAAATTCTCCAAACATAATGCAATAAAATTGAGAATGTATAGAACTGAAGCTAAAATAGCATGTTTTGAAACAAAATAATAGTTATTGATATATTATATATAAATAATTAAGTATATAATAATATATCATGATAGTATAAACATTACATATAAAAAAATTATGAGGCAGAGCTAATATTTAGAGGGAAAATTAACAACTTTAAATACATTTGTCAGAAACATAAAAGGATATAAATAAATGAGCTAAGCACTTAACTTAAGAAGATGGAAAGTGAGCAACAGAACAAGCCTGAAGAAATAGAAGAGAGAGAAATAATAATGGTGAGGACCTAAAATCAACTAAAGCAGCAGTTCTCAACCTGTGGGTCATGACCCCTTTGGGGTCGAAAGACCCTTTCACAGGGGTCCCCTAATACATCTTGCATATCAGATATTTACATTACAATTCATAACAGTAACAAAATTACAGTTATGAAGTAGCAATGAAAATAATTTTATGGTTGGGGGTCACCACAACATGAGGAACTGTATTTAAGGGCCGCGGCATTAGGAAGGTGGAGAACTACTGAAAGGGATTTAAAACGTGGAGATGAAGAAAACTTACAACTTGTTCTTTGAAAAGTTTAATAAGATAGGCCTACTTCTGACAAGATTGATGAACATAAATAAAACATCAAATTGAAGAAAAAGAAGAAAATAGCCACACATTCTACAAAGATTTTTAAATAAATCAATCCTGAATAAATACTCTTTGAAATCCCAGGAGTGGACAAATTCTAAAACAATAGGAAATGCCGGTCGACTGGGCCCTTAGCATATTAGGCTTTTATTATATAAGATTACAAGCCAGTAAGTCATGTACATATGGCATGAAGTTTCATTTTACACAGTATCTCTTAAGGAAAATAGTGAGATCATCAACATGCAATTAAATAATAAGTGTGGCATCCAAGTCATATGTTCTGGGTACGTAACAAACATTTCTTCAGAATATGTCCCAATATTACAAGGAAAAACTTCCCCAGGACCAGAGGTGCAGTTAAGGGACACGGCCTGATTGGGCATCACTGTGTCTGACTCACTGACTCACCCTGCTGCCTTCAGACTCTGAGGATGGAGCTTTCTCAGATTTGGGTTCATATTTTCAGGAATTTAACTGATTATTGACATCCAGCAATCACTTTTCCAACTCGTGTTTTTTCCTGGGAATGAAGTTCTTGGACATCATTATTTCCTTACCACGAGGTTTCGTGGTCTTTTTCTCAGACACACAGCAACCCACTCTCCGGTTTTCTCAGCGTCGTGTTCAGGGTCTCAGAGCCTGTCTCTATCTCATCCGGGTTGGAAGGTGAAGGCTCTCTTGATGGTATTATATGAACGACTTTCCCAAGCTTATCTCCAGGGCGTTTGTTTATATCCAGACTTATCTGCCTTTTCTCACCATAGCTCATAGCTCAGTATCATCTTCATCAGATTTCGGCGCCAACACTGGCTGTTTTCTCTTTGGCTCATTGCTTTTCCTTTAATTTCATTTGCTTACACTCTTTCCCTTGGATTTTCGTCTCTGCCTATTGGCCTTTTCCCTTCCAGGCGTCTCATTCCGTTTCTTCAGCGTCTGGAAAGGCACTTGGGGCAGAACCTGTACTTGTTGATGAACGGCTCTAAGCTGCTCCTGGAGCTTCGCCAGGCGCTGACCCCATGCATCTTCAGACGTTACACCGCCTTCCCACCAGGGGGTTTTGTGGTGTCTGTTTTGATGTTACATACAGGCATGCTCTCCACAGGTTCATCTGGGGTCTTCGCAAAATTCCTTTCAGAAGCCCTCTGCAGCACTCTTGCCATTGTCACTGCTTCCGCGATTCATAAACATTAACCTGGCACCTGCAGCAAATTCACATGCATCTTACATACTTGGTTGCCCATTTTTCTCTTGGTAGTTCCAAGAGCCGTTGGATTTTTCACAATATCATGGGAGTTCTGGAGTCCCAATGCATGAACACCAAGGGCCAGGCATGTGAAAAGTGCTTCTTTGCAGGCACTTCTGTAAGATCTCACCGCAGTGCCTTAATTGTTCGGTTACTTTAACACTCTTCACAACTTAATTTTGTTGCTGAGAACCTGGTAACACATTCCTCAGCAGTTTCTTTTATAGGAGGTTGTTCTGGGCTCCTCCCCCCCCCCCCCCCCCCCATAAGTGCTGGGGAAGACTCACCACTTGCTTTAACTACTGAAGTTGTAGGAGTTGTACCTGATTTCCTCTGCACGTGGCTTGTAGCCCCAGCCACCGTGTGAGGAAGCGTTGGGCGGGGCACCTTGTGCCATAGTTAAAGGAGAAACAGATGTTTCAGGAAATCCAGAGGGACTCACTTGCTGCTTAAATGCCTTTTCTAACGCTTTGGGAGACGTTTTCTTTAACAGAAGAAACTGCTGCCTTGTGCTGAGTGCCTTTCTTTATTCTTTCCTTACCACCCATAATGTGCTCTTCTCGTGGCATCTGTGATATTTCTGTGTAAACAACCCCTCTAGGGCTTGTGTCATAAGAACACTGTCATCTCCAGGCTTGTTGTATAAATAACAATTTGAGAACGACGTATTGAAGTCTTCTTGCTATACTTTCTGAAGCGCTTCTTAATTGCACTTAAATCCCCTGGGCTTTTCCCGACGGTGTAATACCCAGGCAGCTGTAGGTCCACGGCATCCGCAGGCTGCTGAAAGGCCAGGAAAAACGATGCTTCCACTAAGACTTCGAGACAGCCTTTGGTAGACACTGAGTTGATTTGCCAATGCCTGTTTCTCTTAGTATTTATATGCTCTGTTGGCGGAGGGTTAGCAGTAGTAGCTCTTTGTCTACTTGGCAGAGATAGTCATAACTGCTTCAAATCCCGATTTTCCGATGTCTGCAAGATCACGTCCTTGTCCTATACAATACTAAAAGTTGTTTCATTATGTATGCCCTAGTTTACTTCAGTCTTTCACAGTATTTCTGCTTTTTAAAACCCAGATTGAGGTCTTAGAAGGAAAAGTCTGTAAGTTCGTTTCAAGGTTTATTCTAAAGGATGCACTGAGGATAGGCCTAGGGAAGCCAGGCACAGGGAGACATGGGCAGCGGGAGGGCTCAGCGTCCACACCCTCTCCTGGCGACACCACCTCGGCACCTCTGTGTTCACCAGCCAGCACGCTCCCATGTGGTTCATGCGTTATCTGAGATGTTGCAGAAAATAACAAAGAAGAAAAAGCTGCCAGGCTCATTTTAATTGGCTAATGTCCTCTTAGCCTCAAAACCACTGAAGGAGAAGAAAAGAAAATTAAATTATGGGTTAATTTATCTGATTAGCATGGCGTAAAAGATGAAAATAAGTATCAGCTACTGAAATCAAGAGTGTGTTTACAAAGGATGTATTATGATCCTGGGGGTTTGTCCCAGGGCCAAAAGGATTCTTCCACTTCAGAAAATCTACCTATGAAAGAAACCAAATTAATCAACTACAAGAAAAACTTCAACAGATGCCGAAGTAGCATTTGGAAAAGTTTAACACACTTATCATGATAAGAAAAAACCCTTAATAAACTAAAAATAATAAGAAATAACTTGGTAAAGACTGTATAGCCATGACTACTGTAAATATTACGTAGTGGAAAAAGTATAAATTCAAATAATGGATTTTCACAGTCACCATTAGTGCTTAAGATAGTATTAGAGCTGCAGGCTATTGCTATAGGAAAAGGAAACGGATAAGGGGAAAGAAGATTAAACAGGAAAAGTGTCATCCACCTAAAAAAAATAAACAGGATCCATAAACCATCGATCTCACAAGAGAGTTCAGCAAGGCTTCTAAATACAAGATCAAGTGACATAAACCAAAAGTAATGTATCTACACTAGAAATAATCACTTAGAAAATCTAATAAAATCAGGTATGATTGCCTGGCTGGTGTTGCTCAGTGGTTACAGAGTGAGCTCGCACACTA